ATATATATGAATCTGTGCTGGTCCTTTCAGCCAGACCTCACAGACTGGGACACCTGAGAGTTGGTCAGGTGTGTTTAACATTTGCTACAGTACAGTCTGCACTCGCCTTTTAAAGCAGATCGTCACAAGTTTTCAAATGTAAGCAAATTGTGGAGCAGAGTAGGAAGAGAAATTAAAAAGTGAGATGTGCAACAGGTTCAGTGAAAAGCTCAGAATACGTCAAACTGCAGCATCCTTAAAGGATGAGGCAATGTACACAAAAGACCTCCAATAGTTTTCTGAAGAAGGCCTTCAGTCACGCTCTTGTCATCGAATTTGATGAAAGTGACATCAGAAAAGTACAGTTTTCATTCCTTTTATCCCTCAAAACAAAAGCCAACACACTTTCAGAGTCCTTGTGTCTGCAGGCAGGTTACAGCATCTGTCCCCAGTCCTTTGTTCACTGTACTTCAGGTGATGAGCTGTGGCTCCCAGGACTGGCTGGCCATCTGGGGGTGACACTGTGTGATAATCAACGAGCCTGTCAGGCTCTGGCTGTCCAAACACAGACCACTGACCATGTGCTGCAGAGCCATGCCTTTTGGTTTCCACTTCTGTGAAGAAATACAAAGATGGAAAAGATGAATTCATGTATTTTAGTTAGTGCAGATGTCCTGGCACACTCTCTGCTCTGTAGTCCATGATGTGTCCAAGCACGGCAGGTTGATGTTATGAGTAATGAGCTGAGTCAGACTTGGACAGGAGAATTACAGATGAGCTGTAGTTACAGAAGCAGCTGCACAGCAACAGGCCATCACTCATAACAAGACCACGTCTTATTCCTGACAAGTTTCCTTTTATTTGCTAATTCTAGACTGGCTCAGTCACATCTTTAGGTCTCCAGGTTTTCAAAGGAATCTGATGCTGACTCATCATAAACMGGATGTATCAGCAGCACGCTGACCTGTTGCAGGGAGAGTGTTATTACCAGTGGTGGGCAGCGCTAATCCAAAAATTAGCTCTGCAAATTCTAAAGCACTTATGTAAATATTTAGGTCTGCTACTTCAAAAACACTTATGCCATAGAAAAACTAGCGGAAGCTAATTTTAAAGTGCAAGTTCAATTTGACACTTACTAGCTGACAATTCATGTACAATATATGTACAACACTGCCAACTAGTGGTGTATGAACCTTTTTACAGATTAATCCAACAACCACTGATTGCTGGGGATGTGATTTCCTGAAACAGACCTTTAGCTCCTGGTGTAAAAATTAAAAAGTTGTTGAGGATTGCTAGTTCGGTTGATTCTTTAAAAAGTTGTTGAGGATTGCTAGTTCGGCTGCTTCTTTGTCTTTTTCTTTTGTTTGTTGTAGATTTTTCATTAAAGAAGCATCAATAAAGTAATTTTAAAACTGTTTATTGGAAAACTGAAGCGATGCATTCTGGGTACATGATGGATTTTATTTGTGACAGGAAATGAAAGCACCGAGTACAGGAAACTATCTGCGAACTTCAAAATAAGAGCTTGGATTTTAAAATTTTCCATGTAATTGCGCCATTTGACCACTAGATGTCTGTATTCATCAGCATATCATCTTTAAATCATTTCAACACGGTTGGCCGATTGCTTCGATCAATTACGTGAAGTATTGAGCTCCAGCATTTAAACTTTTTTTTTTAAAAAGGAGCTGCGATTGTGAAGTAAAATAAATCAATGCATACAAAATTTTAGTATGGATTACAAACGTGTCCTGTTGTTGCTGGGAAAGGGAGTATTAAACATTGCCT